TAGTAGATAAAACGCCACATGAGTTGTGGAGCGGTACAAAACCAAATATGTCACGTCTTAAGGTCTTTGGTTCGAAGGCAGTAGCCCTCGATCATGATGCCATAAAGAAAGTGTTATACGTTCGCTTTCCTCTCGCTCTAATCGCCATATTGAACGCCCTTAGCAAATTCAATTTGCCGCTTTGACCAACTCCTTTTTATATTACAGCGATTTTCATGAAAAAGTACTAAAAATGGTACTCACACAAGGAAAACCATAGATCGACAATGATTGGCATCACTAATCGACTTTTTTGTCTCTGTCTCTATTGTTATTCGTTGACAATCAATACTAAAATTTGTGCGAATCGATAGCTTTGTGAAAATTAAGAATTTTCACCATTTATTGCAATTTTCGGAAAACCAATTGCTCAAATCGTAAGTACTTTATGGATATGTGACATAGAATCTATAAATAAAATTATTCCACAGGTTTCTGGTGTTTTGTGTGTATGTGAATTTCACAGACAATTTGTGTTTTTCGAACTGCTTTTCCGTGCTGACTTCAAGTTGGATTTTGTGCTTCTGCACCGAATACACTTTTGCGTTGTAAGTACAAGTGGAATATATATATGAATATTTCTTAAACTAATGGGTTTTATTCCTTAGCTGATTGAAGCCGTACTAATTGATGTTTTCGCTGTATACGTGGATTCGCTGATCGTTGTTTCGTTGTTTTGCTGTGCTGGATTTTGCGCCTCTGCACCCAATACACTTTTCCGTTGTAAGTACAAGTGAAATATATGAATATTTCTTAAACTAAGAGGTTTTGTTCCTTAGCTGATTGAAGCCGTACTAATTGAAGTTGTCGCTCTTTTTCGTTAGCTGCATACGTATGTAAGTAATTTAAAACTTTTAAATACCCGAACATCATTCAGATTAGTCTGGAAGTATGGTTTGCAGGGATCGTAGTACCACACACATTTCATGGAGCAATAACAACACAACAACAACAAGTTTAAGAAAAGTACTATAAATTAAACGAAAAAGAAAATTTTAATCTAAGAAAACTAGTTAAATAAAACAAAAATAATATTTTCGTACAACTTTTTTTAAAAGCTTTAAATATATACGAATATATATATATACTCAACAAACCTTAAGTGTTTAAACTTTTAAATTTATGTATGATGTTTCTAGCAATAACAGTATGTCAAAAGCAAGTTGCTTCTTGTGTCATAAGACATGGGCAAAAGAAGGCATAAAACTGTTCCATGTACCTAAGAACGAATTAAAAAGAAAAAAATGGACGGAGTCGTGTGGTGTGGAGTTGAAACCTTGGGCGCAAATATGCGGCCTTCACTTTTGCAGATTTTGTGTCGGGTTCAGACCAAAAAAGAATTAAATTAAGCGTCGATGCTGTCCCTATGGTAGTCGAAATGGTCAATGATTCAAATGTTTCGGACTTTTCTTCAAAATTTGTTGACTCTTCAACACAGACTCAGTAACTATGCTAAAAGTAAATTGAAATTGAAATAAAGTATATATATCTAGTTTAGATTTGACACAGATCACAGCATCGCATTATTGGAAGCAGAGGTTGCGGCGCTAAAGGCCCAAGTGGCTGAGTTGAAAAGACTTCGAACAAATCTGCAAACGATTTTCACAGAAGGCCAAATGCGAAAGATTGAAAATCCGAAGAAAACAATCCATTGGTCTTGGAAAGACATGTCGTTAGCCATACCCCTGCATTCAGCCGGACCAAGAGCCTACACCCATTTGCTTAAGCATGGGTTTTTCGCTTCCATGTCAGTCGTCCGTGGCGAAATGGTGCCAAAAGCTTAAGTTTGAAGACGGTGTCTTGAGTTTTTCATTGAGCGCAAAACGCAGCGCAAGTGACATGTCAGTGGGTGACAAACTTTGTATTTTAGCTTTCGATGAAATGAAAGTGGAGCCTGTTTAAAAAGTCGGATGTACTTTCGTATAAAGTCGCTTAATAAATCATTAAAGCATTAGTTTAGTCGGGTAAGTCAAATGCAAAAGATTAAGTCATTCAGTACATGGCACTAAAAATCCTTCATCCACCAGAGCGCTGCACAGTGGTTCAGTTGTATGGAGCAACGTTCAAAACTTGTTTTCTCGGAAACTAAATGACGTTTCGCAATAACATTTGTTACACTTTTTACTGTTTGTCCAGGCTATATGGCTGATGAAAATGGATGAAATCGGATTAAAACTGTGCAGTATTTTTGGAATATACGAAAACCGCGATATTTAAGTAACTACTGCAGCAAAATTACCATAATTACATCGGACAATAACCACGCTGACCTCCCATGTATTGGTATTTTCGAAATATACAAATTCTACAATATTTTACTATACTTATATATATATATATATATATATACATATATATATATTTTTTTCACTGCTGTACCACTCAGGGGATACCAAAACTCAAACACTTCATTCCTTGAAAATGAACAGATGTATGAATTACCTGTTAGTAAATAAAATACGATTTTTTTTTTAACATGCTTTCATTATTTAGTTATTAAAAAACTAAGAAGTTAAATTTACGGAACAATTTATTAAAATGAACCAAACCGAACCAAAAATACGGGTTTTCAAATATCTCGACACCTGCGCCACCTAGCGGATTACTTCAACTTTCATATTGCATTGTCATCGGGTTCTGAGCTAAGTTTGCAGTTTCAAATCTCTATCTGATCGGGAAGTTGGTTAAAATGGATTTCAAGATTTGATTACATAGGTGAAAGTAAATAAAAGCTTCTAAAAAATATATATGTATTTAGCTTAAGGTTAGGCTAGTATGTATTGTGCTTTATGATTTGCTTAAGTAGTTTAAATATAAAAAATGCTCCTAACGCAATTCTAACTTTAACATAAAAATCGTCTCACTTAATAAATCGTTGTAGAATTAGTTTAATCGGGTAAGTCATTATTAGTTATTCGATACATTGCCTACAAATTCTTTCATTTTTTGTTGTAGTATATATCCATAAGGTAACCAAAAAGTAGGAAGTCTACTACTATTTCTTAAATGGACTTCATTTATTCCCCGATTCTCGCGTACTTCCAAAATAGAACATTGAGCTAAGGGCGTACAAGTTGGCGCTGTCACAACGTACAACACCTTGTATTATTGCATCATGGCCCTCGATAAAAAGCATTCGCAAAAGTTCCGCCCGAAAGGCAAAGAATATATTATGATTGGGTATTCAGAAGTTAGCAAAGGCTATCGTTTGTTTGATAAACACAGCCGAAAGGTCATAATAAGCCGTGACGTGGTGTTCATTGAAAATGCTCATGTTGGTGAAGAGCCAGAACCGAGGTTAATAGAGTTGGACGAAGCACAGTCAGCCGTGGTGTCGATTGCAGATCCGATGCAAGTGCCGCAAAATAATGACAGTGTGGAGACAGGAGACATGTCAGCAATTTCCAGCGAAGCAGCAGAATCAACGAATATAGGTAGGTCACCAATCTGGACCGCCAGCACCGCTACCGCCCTAAGGCCGAGATCACTACCGAGGACCGCCGGCTATTCACCGTCATCCAGGGCCGCCGCAATAATCAACACCACCGTAAGGGCCCGCACCGCTGCTCTAATCACCGAGGGCCGCCCGCCATCATCGCCGAGGACTGCGAACGCTAACTATCGCCAACCAGGGCCGCTGTCACCGTTGGCACCATCAGGGCCCGCTGCTACTATCTTCCTTACTGGGGCCGCCGCCATTACCGTCGCCCCAGGCCGACCGCTACTACCCGTTACGAGTACGGTAATCGCCACTGCCATCATCGCCCAGTACCGCTGTCACCGTCGTAGTTAAAAAGGGCCGCATTCACCCTTCGTCACAATCAGGGCCGCATACAACACCACTGCGGGAGGTCGCTGCCGCCCTCATCGTTATATGGGCCCCTGCCAACGTCACCGCACTAATGATCAGTTGTCCGTAGGTCACCAATCTGGACCGCCAGCACCGCTACCGCCCTAAGGCCGAGATCACTACCGAGGACCGCCGGCTATTCACCGTCATCCAGGGCCGCCGCAATAATCATCCCCACCGCAAGGGCCCGCACAGCTGCTCTAATCACCGAGGGCCGCCCGCCATCATCACCGAGGACTGCGAACCAGCGTTGCCAGGTTGATGTTTTTAACGTCATTTGGACGTTTTTTGTATCCTGTTGACGTTTGGACGTTTTTTGTGTAAAAAATGACGTTTTTTAACTTCCCAGTAATTTTTCTTTGTTACTAAATCTTGCAAGAGGAAATGATTTTGAATTATTTTCTTAATAAATCTTTACAATCTTTGTGTTTTGCTGCAGCTGCTTCAAAAGATTTTTTTTGGATTCTTGGGCCAAGGATCCCGTGTTCAAAGGCTGGTTGTGTAAACACTTGAGGTTACGAGGCTTGCTGTAATGTTTGCAAGTGCACAGCAAGACTATATTGAAAATGTAATGAACGCAAAAAAGACTGAAATATTGCTATGCTCCTTCCTAGCAGAACGTAATTTAGCATTTGCGACAACCGAAATGTCTACAAGAAACAAAACATTAAAAATCAACGTCCCTTTAAACTTGCACATTATTGCCCTGAAATTTAATGGGCTATCAAACTGCAAACTCAAAAACAAATCTAAAAAATCTGAATAAAAAGTTGAAAATCTAGCTGAAAATTTGCAATTTTTTATAATTTTTGCAGTTTTTGTGGATTTATATTTTGTTTGTTAAAGAGCTTGGCTTTTATGGAAAAATAATATACATTAAATAAACGAAAGAGAAACAGCCAAAATCGATCAAAATGTTTATGACTTAATCAGCTGATCACAAGTGTATGTATAAAATTATTTTTATATTTACGATCTCAAACCAGTTTACAATGAATTTTAAATGTGCTCTGTCGAATTGACATTTTAATATACCTTACGTACATATATACCTTTGTACACAATAAAAGTTTAATAAGAACAATTGTGGAGTTCCACACCAAAATGCTACATTTCCATCATACAAATTGTTTCAGATTGGTGCTTTTACGGAAATCGTGTGATCTCAGCTTTACGTTTTGGTGCGATCGAGTGATTTCAATACGACTCAATAAAGGTTTGGTTGCTTTATCTCCGTTAAAATATGGACACATACCAGTAAATGCAAGGAATTTGCATTAACATTTCGAGTGTTGGAAATGAAACGTTTTGGTGTGGAGCTCCACAATTTCTTCTACATTCATTTGAAAAAGACGTTTTTGGGTAGGAAATGACGTTTTTTCAGACCAAGAGTGACGTTTTCTCATGACGAAGACCTGGGCCCGCTGCTACTATCTTCCTTACTGGGGCCGCCGCCATTACCGTCGCCCCAGGCCGACCGCTACTACCCGTTACGAGTACGGTAATCGCCACCAGTGTTGCCGCAAATCTTTTTAGTGGTAGCCAAATTCCTTTAAAAAAAAGGGCTAAAAAAGTCACTGTGGCTAAAAATGGTAGTTAAAATTTTTTACTTACATATACATATATAAGTATACGTGCGAACATTTTCAATAAGTAATGGTATAGAAAAACAATGAACTCTGGAAAAAAAGCTAATATTTTATACAACGAAAAACCTCTTTGTATAAAAGAGGAAATATACGACACCAGCTTGCTGGCTCCATCAAGTGATTGTGCCATCAGGCTCGAAGCATAGAACTTACGAGCATGCTGGTACAATATTTATTTCTTTAAAAATGAGGTCGAGGAAAGATTGAAATGATTAGAGTCGAAATTTCATAATTTTTCTACCATTTTGTTAAACATTGTTTTTGTTTTTTAATTTACAACTGCAATATCGTGATCTTTATCTTCCACAAACACGGCTTTGACTGATATAGTTAGTTATTTTCACCACTCACGACACCAGCATGCTGGTACAATCATAAAATTTTCAAATAGTTTTTGAAGTCGCACCAGCAGCTGGTACAATCACACCACAAGAACATACACGGTCAATTAAGGGCCGTAAACTTATCTATTTTAAAGTATAGTTAAATCGTTATAGATAAGTTA